CCTCTCCCTCCCCCCTCCAACCAGAGAGGGTCCTGCCTCGTTTAACATGGAAGCTTATCACGTACTCAGACACATTCCTCTCCCAGTCACAATGACTACCATCACCGGGGGTAAACCAGAAGATTATACGAATAAGGGAAGATGGTGTGGTTTTAGCCTCGTGTACACAGCACCCCGCTACGATGGGACGTACAAGAGGCATAGGCACAACCTGATGCCCGTAAGGCAAACCTCAAGGAGTGGTAATGGGATGAAGGCATAGTTTTAGCCTGCCGTAAACAGCAACCCCCCTACGATGGGCTGTACAGCCCATCGTAGGGGGGTTGCTGTCTACGGTAGGCTAAAACTATGCTTGCCGTGCACAACCTGATGGCCATACGGCAATGTCAACGAGGGGCAATGTGCCAGTAGACGACCCCCCCACTGGGGTTTAAATGGGTCAGCAATGGTCGAAATTGAAAATAGGGAATACATCATCCTCCACACACTGCAACAGTCGTTTCCCAGAAATGAGAAAACTCGGCCAGGTATTACTTTTTCCAATTTCTTTACTTAAACCCGGCCCCAAAAGCCAGAGTCCTCTCCCACGCTACACCCCCCCATCCCCCACACAAACACTCACCCAAGTTTACATTTGCAGAACAGCTCTATTTCACATCAGAAAAAAAGAAAAGCAAACCACTCTTGAGAATTAATAATATTTTTTTTAATCTTCGGCATTCTTTGATATAATTTGTTGTTTTTGCATTCCCGAGCGTGATCACCGGCATCATTATTTCCGTATATATTTTGTGCTCCATCATCCATGTAATTTTTTGTAAAGCAGCAAAGTTGTCAATGGACAATTTTAAATTTATAATTTACGAAACGTCTTACTGGTATGTTTTACAGCCCTCTGGTACGTTTAACATCCCCACCCAACTACTATTCTAGTATTCTGTGAGATTGTTGGGGGTTTCTGGCTCCATGCAGGTTATCACAACCGCCGCGCCGTTGCCTATGTAGAGGCATATGCAAAATGCATCAGTGCTAATAATGTGGCAATTACACAGAATGTGCACGTATGTGTACCCACCTGGCACTGGTACATGTTACGGGGACTCTGATTGTATTCTGACCAAGGAGTCAGGTTCGCAATTACGCTCAGCATATTTGTTGGATAAATTTCCTCGTGTGTTGCAATCGGTACCCCTGAGCCTAGTTTTTGACTTGCCCTTCCAGCATCACCTCCATCGGGACACCGAATTTCCATATAAACCTACAAGCCACGCCAAAACAGCAAAACAGAACCAACCATGAGTCTCTTTCTCCCGCC